GTTCAAAAATGTTATTTAAAAAAATCTTGACTGCAATAATAACTGTATCAAAACAGTAGAAAAATAAATATTGTCAGGTCTGGCTTGGAGTCTGCTACTGGTAACACTGTAATCTAAACTCTCCCCCCATCAGTGTATGATGAGTACTGATGAGGAGGCATTTGATATTGATTTTTGTTTTTTTAATATTTCAGGCTGATTGTGTTCTTATTTACATGAAATTCAGGCTGGGTGTTCTTATAACCCACTTGTTCTTTTATGCGGGTTTTTACTGTAATATCTTCGAAGGATCCACCGCTTAACCAAAATGGCAGAAAGAAAGGCTACATTCAAATAATGACGGAGCTATGGGAAGAGAAAGGCTTTGGAAGCCTTGGTTTAACTGGCCAAAACCTGAGAGATCAAGCCTCAAGACTGCAAAACACACAGAATTGCTCTAATATGATTTTAACACAGGAAACCAAAGAAATTATCGAAAATATCGAACAAAATGAGGACGAATATGCAGCTAATCAACCAAGACCGACCAAGGGCGTCAGCAGACGGATTGGGTTTCAAATATGTGTGATTGTTTCAGTTATTCGTAGATTTCTAATTGAATTGATATATGTTTGTTTCTAAATGGATACTAAGTAGTGTTCACTTATCTTTCCATCCAACGGTCTTTCTGGTTCGAATATGCTGTACGTACGCTCTGAGTATTTACCGCTGCACTATCCGTGCCAAGCAGCGCCGGTGTCGCTTCGTTAGCGATTACTCTCCTTTAATAAGTTAATCAAATTTACCTTCAGTACATTTCAGTCTATTTCACAATGACATTCTTCGATCTATTGATGACAAAGGTTGTGTTTTGTTGTTAATGCTGGACCTTTCATCTGCATTTGACACTGTCAATCATGATATACTGTTAAATCGTTTATTCATCTGCTATGGTATTGCTGGTACTGCCTTTTCCTGGTTCCATTCCTATCTTAAGGGGAGGACGCAGCATGTTTGTCTGGATGGACATACCTCTGATGACCATGTGTTAAACTGTGGTGTTCCTCAAGGGTCAGTACTCGGACCTATCCTTTATTCACTATACACCTCTCCGCTGGGTGATGTCATGCGTTATCACGATATGAGTTATCATTTCTACGCTGATGACACGCAGGTTTATTTGTCGTTTCAGCCTTCAATACCTGGCCATATGGAAATGAGGACTGAGAAATTCCAAGCTTGCTTGCACTCTATATCTAACTGGATGTTAATGAACAAACTCAAACTCAATGATGATAAATCTGAACTGTTAGTTTTAAGAGCTAGTCATCGTCCTAGTCATCAGTTAGGCTACCTTCTAATGGGTGATGAATACATCAAGCCATCTTCTAATGCTAAGAACATTGGTGTTGTTCTTGRCGATACCATGTCAATGGACAGCCAAATTATGGATGYATGTAAGTTATGTTTCTATCACATTAGATGTGTTTCTCGTATGAGGCGATACTTGAGCCTTGAAGACACTAAACAACTTGTTCAGGCTTTTGTAATTTCTAGGATTGACTATTGTAATTCTCTGTTGTTTGGCTATTATTACAGCACAAAGGACACAAACTTTGAAAGCATTGTCATTAGATGTTTGTTAATTGTTTGTTCAGAAGATCAATACTCCTTCACAGTGCTGGATGTACTAAAGCAGACATCACGGCATGGGGGACAAAATAGACATCTAGCACCAGTAGTCTTCAAAGAATTTCCTAATGACACTAAATTATGTCCTTTTAATTCACTTAAAGAATACATTGCCAGAACAGCTAGTTTAAGATCATCTCAGCAGCTTCTGATTTGTTACACAAAACCACAAGGTCCAGTTTCCCGAGACACAATAGCTCGCTGGATCAGACAGTCACTGAAGGCTGCAGGAGTTGATACTACTATTTTWAAACCCCATAGTACCCGCAGTGCTTCAACAACTGCAGCCAGTTTGACAGAAGTTCCAATAGATGAAATTATGGCTGTAGCAGGATGGAGGTGAGATTCTATGTTTACAAAATTTTATAACAAGCCTGTTGCCCAGAAACCCAGTAATTTTGCAAAGGCTATTTTGAGTTCATGAATATCAATTGTATGCCAGTATTTCAGCCTGGTGCATTTTTATGATTAAATATGCATCAAGAGCATGTATTGTATTGAATATTGCTTACTATCAATCACGTGACTTTTTGGGGTTGGCTGGGGGGCAAACAAGCGGTTGCCTGGGGGGCAACTAGCGGATGATAAGTCAAAACATATCAAAATAAGTCCTCAAACTATTGTATTTGACTATTTTCACGACATCAAACCAGAAAACAAGAGATCAAAACAACCTCCAGGGTTCTACAAGCCATCAAAAAAGAGCTATTACCGGAAGTGACGTCTATTGATAGCAACCTATTCTCTTGATATGCATATGATACAATTATGGGCATGTGTGTACTCTTGTTTTATTTTGGTGCCCATGAACTCTAAAATCTCACGTGACCTCTGATTGTATGAAAATGCGAGGTAGAATTGTAAAATTAAACGAGACTTACCTGGAAGTTGAAGTTTTGATTAAAATTCTACCGTAGCATTTGCAGAAATGAGGAGGTCACATCCCACCCATATGGTACCCAACCCAACTACTGGAATCTATATTTTCGACATGGCCACCAAATAACTTCGTCTTTAAAGCCTGAGCTCGAAGTGCATGCTTGCTATCTCACGTGACCTCCTGTTAATAGTCCATATAAACTGTTGTAATAATACTCATTTGTAAACTCCCTGAAGAAGTCTGTTGCTTACAGTCGAAACGCGTCGGAGTAATAAAAAAGTTTACAAAATCTAAGRAAAGTTCAGTCGTTCATTTGTGCTGCTCACCTGTACACTTAAAAAAAAAGATTGTTGCGATATTTAACGTGCTTTTACACCTTTTGCTGTTCATTAACCGCAAAGGAATATTCATTGAAGCGAAGAAGCATTGTCATTAGAGCGAA